CTCATCACGAGCCCTACCAAACAACTCATAAAACAATGGTCGATCATTGAATATCACTGGCACCCTTTGCATTCCAACAAAACTGACATTCCTAAACTCATCTTCCTCCACAATTCCTCCATGATACAGGGTGACTACGTTGTCCATCTAGTTGGTATGCACAACACCAAAGTTATTACAGGTTTAACTAATATGGGTATAACTAAATTACATACATATAAAAGTTTCTGACTCTCTACCTAAATAAATAAGTATCTAATCTAAACCATCTATCTATCTAACTACATCTACTACAAGTACTACCTATATAACTAAAGTACCTAACTATCTAACTATCTATCTAGATTAGCTAAATAAATATCTACCTAAATTAGCTAACTAAATTATATCACTAAATCACTAAATAACTGTAATAGCACATCATCAGTAGAATAGAACTAACAATCTAGGATAGTTCAAATAAGACAACAATACTATTCTCGATGTTAGGCTTATGCTTCCTAACACCCACAAAAGTCTCCATTATATCATCTTCATTCACACCGAAGAAAACATCTTTACAAATTACTAATTGCTTACGAATTTTACAAATTTGCATTCCTACCACATAGCTACCAATGTGTGTTCTAGTTTGTCACAAAGAATGTGCAATGTGCTACCAATGTGCTAGTACAATCCTACGCTCCTAGTTTCCTACCATATGGCTACCAAAGGCGCAAGGTGCAAGTGAGATTAGTGAACTACCTCACCGCTGTGCTAGTACAATTGTCACGGGTTGTTCTAGTTTCCTACCGGCTCCTGCTCCACTCCAGGTGGCGATGCACCGTGGCACCAGAAGTCTGCCACGCAGTGAGCCGACCAACCGCCGTCACTCCTCTTCCCGTCCCGCCTCCTGCTTTCCCCAACATGGATCGACGCAGAGACACCGGCAGATCGCCTCGGAAGCCGCCCACGCTTGAAGCGCCTCGTTATCAAGAACTCGGAGGTCGCTCCTGAACCACACGACGGCCACCCCCGACGCCGCCTCTCCTCAAGCTCGGCGACGTGTACCTCTGGAAGGCCTCGCTCGCCACTTCTGCAGCCTCAATCAACGCCAAGGAAGGCACCAAATCAATCTCCGCAGCCAGGGCGGTGCTCATGCGCCACGCCTCAGGAGGGGACGGCGGTGCCGCGTCGGTCGCGGGCGGGACAGCTCACGCGGGCGCACCTAGGCGGCGGGGGCTAGGGCGGGGGGCGGCGCCGGTGCCTCCGGGTCTTGAGTGGCGGTGCCATCGCTAGTGGGAGGAGGAGGCGATGGTGCGTCGAAGGTGGACGTGGCCTGCCGCTGCGTGGTGGGCACCGTCGGCGACGGTGGCAGCAGAGAAGGAGGAGGAGAGGAGAGGGACGGGGAGGCGACCGGCTGAAAGGTCGAGATGATGACTAGAGGGGGGTGAATAGTCCTTTTTAAAACTTAATCGCGTCAGCTAACCGAAACAAGTGCGGAATTAAAACTATCGGTCTAGTCAAGACTACACTCCTCTATCTATGTTCTTTAGCACCTTTCAAATATACTAATTAAGCAATTAAGGTGCCGGGCTAGCTATAGCTCACCTAAGCAATTCTAGGAGCAAGGTCACACAGACCTATGCCACTAGTACTTTAAGCAACAAGGGAGCTCCTACACATACTAGTAAGCAAAAGCACAAAGCTAACTATGCTCACTAGCAATGCTCAATAACAAGGCAACCAATGTCTAATTAGAGAGCGCAAGTGCTTAGCTACACAAACTAAGCAATGTGACTAACAAGGTTACTAAAACCATATTAGCCACGCAAGGGAGCTACTTCTATGCTACACAAGCAAGAAGGTAATTAGCAAGCTACACAAGCTATCTAATTACAAGAGCAACTACACAAGCTTAATATGTATAAAAGTAATTGCAAGCTTGTGTAATGGGGATGCAAACCAACGGGAAGAACAAGGTTGACACGATGATTTTTCTCCCGAGGTTCACGTGTTTGCCAACACGCTAGTCCCCATGTGTGTCGACGACCTCACTTGGTGGTTCGACGGCTAATTAGCATCACCCGCTAAGCCCGCGCGTCCAGGCGCCAGCAAGAACTCTACCCCTTGAGTGAGGGTAGCTCAATGACACGCTTTACTAGGTTGCTCTTGGCGGCTCTCGGGCGCAGCACAATGCCCCTCACAAGCACTTCTCCTGGCGCCGCACAATCATCTTATGGGCTTCGACGGAGACCACCACTAAGCCGTCCTAGGAGGTGGCAACCTCCAAGAGTAACAAGCACCACCGGTTTACAACTCGATCACCTAGTGCCACTCGATGCAACCTCACGATGATGCAATCGCACTAGAATCGCTCACTCACATAATCGAATGATCACTATCAAGTATATGTGTGATGGAGGGCTCCCAAGCACTCACAAGCATGGACACTAAGTCCCCTGGGTGCTCGGCTCGCCATGGCCGAGGGCCACTTCTATTTATAGCCCCAAGGGCTAAACTAGCCGTTACCCCTTCACTGGACAAAAGTCGGGCCAATCGGACGCTCTGGTTCGATCGACCGGACGCTGGATCTCGGCGTCCGGTCACGTGATACACGCCACGGTCCTCTCCTTCAAACGTTGATCACCCGATTTCAATGGCTTACGTAGTTGACCGGACGCTCGGTAAAAAGGAGGGACGCCTGAAGCCCCAGGGGGTGCAATACCCTCGGCGCTGCGTGACCCGTCGGACCGGACACACGCGCCGAGGTTCGGCAGCTTTTGCACCCAGGCGTCCGGTCGATGAAGACCGACGCCAGGAGCGATCAACTCGGCTCCAATGTGCCAACCACAAGAATTTGCATCCAGCGCAATAGAAAATAGGCATTCCATTTTCCCGAAAGCGCCGAATCCCGCCGAGCAAGCTCGGCGGGAGGGAGAGAGGGACCCAAACCCATCTCAACCCTGCAAACACCACCTCCTTTGTAAATGTGCCAACACCACCAAGTGTACACCACCATGTGTATGTGTGTTAGCATTTTCACAATCATTTTCCAAAGGATTAGCCACTCAACTTGCCACGCCACTCGATCCTAGCAACGATGCAAAGTTAGATCACTCAAGTGGCACTAAATGACCGATATGCAAACAAGTTTGCCCCTCTTGATAGTACGGCCATCTATCTTAAACCCGGTCATAAACTTCTCTACACACCTATGACCGGTGAAATGAAATGCCCTAGGTTATACCTTTGCCTTGCGCATTCCATTCCATCTCCTCCAATGTCGATGCAACACATGCACCAACACGATCAACAATGATATGATCCACTTCATATCATCACGTGATCATATCGGTTCATCGATCTTGACTTCACTTGCTCTTCACCGTTGCCATCGTCCATCGGCGCCAAATCTTGTTTAAGCTTCACCGCCACGCGGTCCATCACTCTAAAGCCTCCGACTTGCTCTTCACGCTTGCAACCGGTCCATCAAGTCAAGTCTTGTCTTGATCTTCTCCACCTTGATCACATGACTCAATGTCATGTCTCATTTGCAATAAGCTCCTTCATCATCACATGTGTGAGCTTTGCAACATCTCTAAGCCATTGTCAACTTCATGGCATATGTTGCTCACACACATGTACCTGTGGACTAATCACCTGTGTATCTCATATAAACACAATTAGTCCACCTAGGTTGTCACTCAATTACCAAAACCAAACAAGGACTTTTCACCGGCGCGCGGGGGACGGCGGACGGTGGAGCGGGCGACAGCCGGCGGAGGAGGCGCGGGCGACGGTGGGGCTAGCTGGCAGCGACGGTGAGAGGGAGAGAGAGAGAGAGGGGGAGAGAGAGCGCGAGAGAGAGCTGCGGCGGCCACACGCGGTTATCTGGTACCTCGACGCCAGAATACATGGCGCCTGTATTTTGGCGCCGAGGTATCGGCCACGTCAACGCCACCTAGGATGCCCTGCTGTGCACGGCCAGGCACTTTTGAGCCAAGATCTGTGGCGCCGAGACGTTTTACCTCGGCGCCATGAGTCCTGATGCCGACCCCAGAGTTAAAGATGAGTTTACGTCTCCAAGAAGGCTAAACGTAAATTTTTTTCGAAAAATAGTCAAACTGTAAAAAATGGTGCCCAGATAGACATGGACGAGCCAATGGAGAAAATACAAATGAACCGATACGCGGAGACAGGTCCAGTCACTGTAAAGTTCTGTTCAGCACGCACTACAGGGCACCATGCAGATGCAGCACAGCAGCGGAGCCGAGCGCCGCCTCCGGCCGCCTGTCGCCCACTGGCGTTATGCTGCGGGACACCCCGTTGCCTGCACAGACACAGGGCACAAAATAGTGCAGCGTTGGCAGGCCAGTCGAAAGAGCTCCATCAGCCATTCAGCCTGCCATAGCCGAGCTCCATCAGCCATTACATCACGCATTGATTCGTCCATGATCGTCGCCAATCACCAAGTTGCGGTAGCAACGGAGCGAAAGGCATGGCGACACGGACGCGGACGTGAGGCAGTGCGGTGGTTGCTGTTGCATTCATCAGTTGATGCCTCAACGATACTATTCCGTGTACGTGTGGCTGCACCGGATCGATCGCCGTGCAAGTTGCAACCGCACACTTGCCCATGGTGCCATACGTAATCGTCCTTTGTTTGGTTTATAAGTCGTATTTTTTTAATTAATAAATAGTATTTTTCTCTCACAACAAATCAGCCAACAATACTTTCAGTCATGACTTATCAGCTAAACATAAATGAACGGGACGAATGCAGGGAACACGGCGGACGACGACAAGAGAAATGTATCTACATGATAGATTTCATCGCCCACTTCCTGATGATTCTACAAAGAGACAGTATCACACAAAATCTCGCCTACCAAAACCAGAACAAAACTCAAGGGTCGCAAAATTTGCAAGTGTAGCAAAAGAAAAGGACCAAAACTGAAGCTGAGCGGCAGAAAAACCAGAGCACTAGAGCTCTGTCGCAAGCGGCCGCCGCGTCACACTCACACCTCCCTGGGGTCCACAAAGATGGAGCGGCCAGGAGCCGACCTGGCCCAGTCCCAGGCGTCCGCGTGGCCGCCGCCGCCGCCGCCGCCACCAGCAGCAGCAGCGCCGAGCCGCTTCATGCACCACAGGTCCTCGGTGCACGACAGGCGGCGCCAGTGCGGGATGCGGCCGCGGAGCGGGTCCATGGCCGCCACCTCCACCGCCACGGCCGCCGCCCTGCCGCGCGCCATGTTGACGATGGACGCGAACACGGCCTCCGCGGCCACCGCAGCGTCGCGGCCGCTCCCGGCAAGGCCGTAGACGAACCACCCGGCAAACGGGCGGAACAAGTCCGGCACGGACGGCACGCGCAGCCACTTGGCGACGCGGTCCAGCGCGCGGGTGACGGCCGCGGCGCCGCGGCGGAGGCGCGACGCGCCGCGCACCTCGAGACGGAACACGCCGCCGCAGTCCCACGCGCTCGCCACGGCCCACGACGCCGGCGGGGACGCCAGGAAGCGGTCGACACCGCTCCACTCGTAGCCGCCTTCTTCGTCGCCGACGATCGCCAGGAACGTCCCGTGGGAGAGCGTGTTGTCCAGGACGTCGCCGATGTCCGCGGGGAAGAACTCAACGTGCGCGAACCGGCTGCGGTAGAGCCGCTCGGCGTCGCGGGCGCCGAGGCGGACGACCGTGGCGCGGCGCGGTGGCTTGAGGCGGTGCGAGTGCACCGGGTGCACCAGCAGAGACGGCGTCCGGAACTTGGAGTAGCCGCAGCGGCCGGTGAAGAGGCGCAGCGACGCCTGGTTGGACTTGTCGGTGGCCATGTACGCGTACTCGGCGCCCATGAGCTCGAACCACTGCTCCAGTTGCTGCACCAGCTGCAGCGCGATGCCCATCCGCCTGCATGCACGCGCCGCGCATTTTCTACTGTTAGTTTCTTGACAACAGCAGCACTGATCAGTCGATCGATGCAACAACAATGTGGACGAGCGCCGCTGGCGATCGTAGATATAACAAATAAAGGAATGATGCTTGACGAAGATACAGCAACTTTACTACCTGTGGGAAGGCGCGACGCGGAGGCCAAGAATGTAGCCGACTTTGGCGAAGGCGGGTGCGCCAGGGCGGCTCTTGCGGGAGGCGACGGACTTGACGGTTCCCCGGACGAGGCCGACGATGCGGCCGTCTGGCCCGGACGTCTCAGCTACCTGTTCATGCATGTCGGGATCAAACTTACGCGGCTTGAAACAGCAACCCACCACCAGCAAAGATTGAAGAAGCAGGAAACAATCAGCGCGGCTCGCTCGTTAGCGAATAGCTACGTGCACCCGTACGTGCAATTATAAGCAGAAGAGAAGAGATGTATCCGCACGCATTGTCGCGTACGTATACGTCTACGTGTAAGGATATGGGGTCAGAGTAGACGTACACGTACACGTACACACTCACACACTTACCAGCATGAGGTAGTGCGGCGAGTGGCGGATGCGCGCGACGGGGTCGCCGAGCAAGTCGGCGTGCAGCGACATCCCGCCGGCCGGGCCGACCTCGCACTCCCGGTCAACGGCGTCCGTGCCGTCGCGGTCCGTCTTGGGATTGTACTCGCGGATCACCACCGCCCGCCGTCCCCCCTCGGCCTCCTCGTCTCTCATCATGGCACCGAGCCACCGATCGATCGCTGCACTGCTGCCGCCTCTCTACTACAGCGAGCGAGTATAGTATACTCCGTACTATATAGTATCCACTGCACTGCTACATGTATGTAGCTAGCTCTATATATCTCTCGCTGCTCACCACGAGTCCATCGATCGCGAGGAATACAACTGCAGACGCATGTATATAGTAGCGCTTATATATAGGCAGGCAGCCAGCAGGAAGAAGACGACGTAGCCCCTGGCCTTCTTCTGTTTTTCGTACTCCTCCCTCTCTTCCCTCCCTCTCTTCCCCTGTTCATGCATCTCGCGCGCCCCACTAGCTCGCTCTCGTGGATCATGTGGGGGGGCAGTTGCAGGTGGACCAGATTAAAGGAAAGCGCGCGGGCACGCATGAAGCCTATGACGAGCAACGGCAAGGAACGGAAAAGAAAGTCGAGGCCCGCCCAATCGGTCCTGAATTGATTGCCTGGCAGCCGCTTGGATTTCCCTGAAATCTGGCTGCGCGGCGTCGCCCCAATATAATCCCCCTGTGATGATGGTGCGCGCGGTTATTAATTCGGCGCGGGGCGAGCGTATGATTGGTGCCCGGCGGGATTAACTGCACATTACGTTGCAGCTTTAATCCTGGCGCTAGTGGCAGCGCCAGTGGGCAAAACCGGCGCCTCCGTTTTTGCAGTGGGGGTTTGTTTCCGGCTCGCTCTTTTCGGTGGGGCCATTAGTGGCGTTACGACGGCAGCAACGGTCGGTTTTACTGCCTCGTCACGGTCACGGTCACGGTCACGGAGTGGATTTCCGAGTCAGTAAAATCGAGAGGGAACCAACACACGGTAAAGCAACACACCGAACCGTGTCCCGTGGTCGCTCCACGAGGCGCGACGCAACTGTCTGATTGTTAACCTTATCTAAGGAGCTGGTCTTAATAGTGATTTTTTTTTGGGGGGGGAGGGCGGGGGCTTGCCTAGCTGTTCGAGCATCTAACTGGTAGGTCTTCTGACACAGATTTAGGCCCTGATTGTTTATGATCGAGCTTGTTGTCTCAACGCAACATTGCATGCATGGTCAGCCAGACAAGAGCAATAGGACAGAAGGCGGTTCTGACAAGTTTTTTTTTAATTGTTGTTTTGCCTAATAAAGAACTCCTGGGCCTTGTTTAGATCACTTCTTTTTTCACTCTCTCTCAAGTTTTTTTTTGCATTGTTGTTTAACTAATTGCCTAATAAATCACGGATGAATCTTTTGAACTTAGTTGGTTCTAACCTGCAAATAAGACTTGTGGGTTGAAATTTCTTCAATCTAAACATCATCATCTGTTGATGAGTTAGAGTCGGGATAGTCGTTCGTAGGCAGCTACTAAAACTCAACAGGATGCATGTGCTTCGAAGGACCAAGGAAACACTGTCCAGTCCATTGTACGTCGCCGTGGCCTGTGGCAGATTTCTTTGACCAGTACGTTGACCCCTTGACGGCTTGACCACCAGCAGGACCACCTGCTGCCCCGTTTTTCAACTCCCGTACAGCGATCGAGGTCGTTTCAGTTTTCTTTTACCTTCACCCATCGTGCCTGTAAAATGAATGGATCTAGATCACCGGTCCGGAATTGCAATCTCCAAACACCATCGGTCGTAACAGACTGACTGGGGTTGTCACGAGTCACGACATCCCTATCCAGTGTCCACCGCCAGGAGCCCTGCGACACCGGCGAAAGGACATGTGCGGCGATCGGCGGCTGCCGGGAGAAGCTAGCGGCCGAATCCGATGCGCGGTATCCCCCTCGCGGAAAAGGAAAGCGACGCGCCGGCCGTGCGCGCCCTGGGTCTCTCCAGCTCCTGGCTCGCCGCCGCCGGCCGCAGCGCCCGGCGCGTGTCCGCGCCACCCCCACCGGACGGGACGTGGCGGGGTCCTCGGCTGTCCCCGCGCCTGCGTGTGGCGCGGATCGATCGAGCCGTGCCCAGCGGCGTGGCTGGCCGGGGCCAGGGTTCGTTCGTTTTCTGAACGGATGCTACGCGCGCTTGGGAGTTGGGACCAGACGTGATGGCACGGTACTCGCCATCGCGGTCCTGTCGTGCCGAGCCGGGATTTTTCCACTTCGCCAAGAAGCCACCAATCATTGGTGGCCGTACGCCCGCCCGGTTCGGATAACGCGGCCCGCGTCCTCTCTGCTCTGCCCCTTGTGGAGAAAAAAAAAGAGCAAAGAAAACAAGGCCCAACAGCTTTACAGGTGGAAAGGTGGGCGGTGTCCCGTAGCGGCGAGCGAGTTAGCTGTGTGGTTGGATTCGGTACATGTTTTTGCTGTTATTAAAGCCGGCTGATAAGTTGATTAAAACTGTTTTGTTATAAGAGAAAAATACTGTAGATTCTAACCGATAAGTTCAAGCAAACAGGGCCTCAGTTTTGCGGCTGGCGGCGTACCCGACACTGTTTGGATCTTTTCGCGTGATATGGACTCGACCGGAGATTCCAAGACGATGAGGATGATTGGGCTTGGGTTTTTTTTCCACGGATCTGACATTGCCTTTAAATTCGGTCTGTTCGCTGGTTGGTTTCTGTGCTGATAACCCTGACTGGTACTAGTTTGTTGTAAGAAAAAAATATTGTTGGAACTAACTGATAAGCACTTGCTGAAACCAACGAGCGAACATGCCCCATGTGAGTCTCACGTTTTCGTTGCTGTTGGCGCCGCTAGCTCCGTTTTATGAGCGCTCGGTCGTCGAAGTCGAACCAACCATCGGAAAAGGTAAGTTTCTATTTCTACTCGCAGGTGTGAAGTTAAGGTGGTGGTTTGCGAGTGTTTTGAGGCCGAAGACAGGGCGACGCTGCCTGGCTGGCATAAAAGCTGAAAGCCTGAAACTGCAAAGGCGGGCGGCGCACGGAGCAGCGCCGCCGTCGTTTCAGGTACCGGGCGGCGTGGTGTGACAGCTGCAAGATACGTAGAGATAGCGGCAGGTGGATGAGGACGTGACGCGCCGGGACGTGGCCCCGCGGCCATGGTGGGCGCCCGCCCGCACACGTGCCGTCGGTCGTCTCCTAGCGCAGTTACGGCAGGCAGGGCAGTTCGACAGGAACTGATGCAGTGTGGCCGTGTGGCTGTTGGGGTACGAGCGGCGCATGGTGTACGGTTTGCCACCTGCGCACCTGGTTTCCACTTGTCCCGCGTGCGGCCGCAAACTGCCTTTGCGGAGTTGCAGATGGTCGAGCTCCATCAGCGTCTGGTTGGTTGGCTGGTTCGTATCGTTACTGATTCGTTTATGTGAGAAAAAAGTACTAACTAGTTAATGTGAATAGTATTCATATGAGGAGGCTGCTCAGCCAGCCAACCCCAGTCGATCGGGCTGCAGACTTCCAGAGTCCAGAACGTATGTTCCATCTTCACGGTGGCGGCACGGCTACACAACACGACGCTTACGCCGCCTCATTTTAGTAGCCTACTCTCGTTTGGTTCGAGTGCGCATTGTTATATATTTTGGATCATCTAGGTGTAGATCAGAGGATGATATCTTTAATGATTAAATCAAATAAACCAAGAGCTTGCTTCGGGGAAAGGAGACAGAGGGAGATGTAGGAGCATCTGACCGTCGGAGGGTTGGAGGAGCTTCCTGCCATCGCTGGTTCGTCGGTGAAGCTCTACGCACGGGGTAGCGACGGTTGTTGTAGCGGTGGAGACCGGCGGTGGTGGCAAAAGCAGTGGTGCTTCCCGCCGCTGGCAGTGCCTCCCTCGTGATCGGACTAGGGTTAGACGGTGGGGTTGTGGCGGTGGCAGTGAACCTCGTATCCAGAGCCGTTTGCCCCACCTCCTCTTTATAGGCACTGTGCGATGGGGGCCCACCAGCTACTAGATAGCTGGATGTCCCCGATCAGGACGCGGTCAAAGGGTCCGTCTCGACCGTTGGGTCAAGATGGATGAGATCAATTCTAACATTCTCCCCCTTAATCTCGACTCATACTTTAACTTTAATCCCTTTCACTTTTATTTGTTCCATCACAGATTAGTGCATAGAGCATGCTTCATCGTCACGGTCAATCACCGATAGACTTAACAGCTACAATACACATCTCTGTTCTGAAACAGATTCTTTAACTTTTGGGCCCTTTATTGTCCGAAATCATAGGCTATACCATAAACCCATATCGACTGTGTGTTCTCTAAACACACTGGGTGGTAAGCCTTTTGTACACAGATCCGCAAGTACTTGCTTGTTACTTTAATACTTTTAGTATGATTCCGGACTTTCTCCTTCACAACGTATAACTTTAACGTCAATGTGTTTGGTATCACACTTGACCTGTTGTTATAAGAGCGAACTACTTAAATAGTTATTGTTGTTGTATACCATTATCAATTCCGGGTGTAAGTTCTTTTAACCATTTCGCCTGTCCTTAAGCCTCATAACAAGCTATACTGTGGTTATGCATCTTTGATGACACCACAACTGTTTCTTTGGAGCTTTCCCACAATAAAACTCCAACTGCGAGTGTTAGCTACTATGTGGGTTTCACTAAACATCTCGCCAAAATTTAATATTTATACCCACAACTATTTGAGAGTGCTTATTCTTTCTTACTCACCATGAGGCCTATAAATCATTGCACAATTGTAAAACATTCTCCATTCCATTCCAGTGATCTACATTTGGACTGGACTTCTGCCAAAACATCCCGGATACATGAACTATGTCAGGGTAAGTTCTTACTTATAAGCACTCATTAAGCCTCCAACAGTGAAGCATATAGGACGTCCTTTCGATCTCACATTGGTTCTTGAAACACTGAAAGTTTCCAAAACTATTACCCATGACTATAGAAACAGACGCGGTTTATTCACATATATACTTTATTTCTTTAGAATCTTCTCTAAGTATACACTTGAGATAGTTCTAATATCCCTTTTCCTTTTGTCTCGGTAAGTTTTAATTTCTGGAACGAATGACGCTTTACCAAGATCATTCTCATTTAAACTTGAGGACAAGAACTGCTTCTTCTCCAACAGTAGATTAACATCACTA